CTGCCCAACACCAACTCGGTGGCCTAGTGGAGTCAAAATCCAGGCCCCAGAACATCACCTAAAGTCATTCGAACCATAACCACAACACTTAACTGGCATAGAACCGCCATTGTACCGAACCTTCTAACACCACTAGTGAGTACGACAGTACCGGTGAACCTCCCGAAACTCATAGCATGAGAACATGGGGAGAGAGCAAGAAGATGTCGAGGCCGCAGACTCGACCCTCGAACTGCCTGAATCCGCCAAGATCCACCCACCCACCGCGCCATCCCGTCCAACATCACTGGCCAAATGACAGAGCAACGGTCCTCCCTGACCCAACGCCAGAACACAAGGGGGAAAGGCCGAGAACCGCGATGAAGCTCTGGCCGCCAGACGCCAACACCGCCAAACGACCAAGGCACCACCCACCTAACGAAATGCACCTTGGAAGTCGTCGACTTGAGCTCTCGAAATGACGCCGGATGTTGTCCTTGAAAGTCGAAAGCATACATGATATAGGATATTATATGTATTAGATCGATCCGACGGGTTAACAGAATCAACCGAGCTGACTGCGCTGGTCAAAGGAGATGCGTGTTCAGCTATGAAGGCCTTGAAATAGAAAATAAGTGGATTTGTAAGGGCTGGGTAAGTCTCGACATGTAGAGGGTTTGGTCGAAACGCCAGATAGTCGAGCATATCTGAAAGTGATCGCTTAGACGCGGTCGAATCTAGAACTGACAGAAAGACGCATGTTTGTCTCATTTTTGTTGCGTTTTTCGTTATCTTTTTGTCTTTCTTTTCCCCCGTTTTGAGTCGTTTAGTTAAGTTTTAGTTCATTTTATGGTTTATTTAGTGTTTTGCTTTATTTGGGTATTTTTTATGTTTTTTCGGTCGTTCTCCGGTGGTTTGTCGTTTTTGGTGCGCAGGCTATAGGTCTCGAGAGGATTTATTTTTGGGAAAAAAATCTTTTTCACCCCAATACAAAGATACATTAAATTTTTCACACCGCCCAATAAAAAGCTAAGTTTTTCACCCCAAAAAGTGCGAAGGATATGCGAAAACTGTCGCATATTCATCGCATAACTATCACATGTGCGAAGGTTATGCGCAAAACTGTCGCATAACTATCGCATATCAATTACTGTCGCATATTCATCGCACAATGCCTTCACACTTTAACTTTTTTCCACAGAAAGTGCGAAGGATATGCGAATGCCTTCGCACTTTCACCTTTCGCACAATGTCATCGCGCAATTGTCGCATATCCATCGCACAATGCCTTTCGCAATTTCTAGGGTGAAAAACTTAGCTTTTTATTGGACGGTGTGAAAAACTTAACAAGATTTCAAAACGGGGTGAAAATAGCTATTTTCACTTTATTTTTCACGATAAGTGTGCTGGGCGAACTTAAATTAAGAGCGTTTCGTTGGGAGTACACAAGAATATACGGAATCAAATTTCGAGTACAAACGAAAGTATACGAGCCCGAGACATAAAGTTGTGCGAGCCGTCCATTGATGTGCCCAGGCCACGCGCCGTGCTTGTGCCACGACACGGCCAGAAGACAGAAAATGCACCCCGCGCCGCAAAGACCGCCGCGCCGCGGCACCTATTGCCAAGCTCTCCCAGCCAGCGTCCAGCAGACCTCGTGACACCCCTGCGGCGTGACAACCAGCTGCCCCGCGCCACTCCAAAGCCTCCGCGCCGCGAACCCAAGACCTGTCGCGCCGCTGTGATGGTGCCACGCCGTGAAGGATATCTTTTCCACGTCGTGAGCTGCAGCATGCCGTGGAGGATCTCCCTGCTCCTCCCCGCGACAACCCCACGTGATGGACAAAGCCTCAAGCGACCCCATATCCACGCCGGGATCAATGCCACACCGCGAGTAGCCCGCCTGCCGCGCCACACAGAGGTGCCGCGCCGCGAGAAGAAGCCTTGCCCCGTCCGTGCCGCTACCCCACGTCGCGAAGGGAGTTCCTGCCGCGCTCGTGAAGTGCTCCGCGCCGTGGTGCCATACCAGTATAAATATGAGATCGGGAATTAGTCGGGCATTATTCTTTCACGCAAATAAAAGACCGAACCCTACCTCTCTTCTTTCTCTCTCGTTTATAAATTCTATTTCACCGTTTTTCATCGTGAACAAGGATTTGACATCGGATTTTGCTATTGCTTTCAGAATTAATCTTGTTTATCGAAGTCGACATTAAGATTATATCAATCATAAGAGTTCCTTTTAACTTTATCGTTAATTATGAATTCTTGGGTTGTGATGAATGTTTTCGTTGTTTCTTCGACTATGAGTAGCTAAATACGTAGGCTAGGGACAAGGGATTAATGTTTTGACTTCGATTGTGATTGTGGGATTTGATGATTGTTCGTCATATGCAAATTGTTCTTTATTAGGGTTTTTCAATAATCGTACTTGAGTTTTGAGAATTGTTGAAGAGTGACACTTCAATTCCAATTAATTCAATTGAGTTCAATTAATTCGTGTTTGATATTAGGGAATCATTTGATTAGTCGGTTAACCACCTTCTAGTCTTATTCTTATCGACTCTTAGAACCGAAAGGGGAGGAGTCGGTCGAAATAGGTTTGCATACGCTAAGCTTGTTCGTAACTGTATTGCCTAGGAGTTTAATGACTTGGTAAATCGTCGTTCTAGTTAGTTCTCTTGTTACAAAGAGTTATTGAGGATGAGTACTAGAACGTGCAATTTATTCAAATCAATTAACTGAACAATCACTGACCCATTAATTGCTATTCAAGTCAGAACGGATATCCCCGACTGCCTAGCTTCTCAAATGTTGCTTGTTCTATGTGTTAAATTGCTATTTTATTGCTTTAGTTAAATATCTGCAGTAGTTGATAATTGAAAACCAACCTTTAATCTGAATGAGAATGTTTAGAATTTTTATTTTCCCTTTTTGTGCTTGAATAAACGTACAATATATTCCGGCTAACCTTACTCGTGAGACACGACCCGGTGTTTGAATCTTTCGATTCTACTTCGGTAAAAATATTTACAACAAAAATTGGCGCCGTTGCCGGGGAAGGTTTAGGACATATTTTGTGCGCTTATTCGCTTGTTTTTCTGTGTTTCTCTTTATTTCTTTTTATTTGTTTAGGAGGTAGTTCTTTGCTTTTGTTTTTATTTTATTTTCACTTGTTTACTATTGGTGCTCGTAACCTGTTTGTTTGTTTGAGTGTATGCGTACCAGGAGTGGACGTATACTATCCCCAATCAACAAGTCGATTAACGAGAGCCTGAGAGAGTTGCTAGACTAGCTCAATCTGGAATCACAAGAAAAAGGCGACCAATCTCCAAAATCATCCGAGGGAAGCAACTCAAACATGGTTGAACAACAAGCTCCCCGTAATGTCCTCAGAAATATGGCCCAACCTATGATCGGGCCAATCACCTCTTGCATCCGGTTGCCACAAGCGGCCCACAACTATGAGCTGAAGATGGTCTATTACAATCAGCTCCCATCGTTCCACGGGCTCGCCAACGAGAACCCACTCCACTTTCTCCGGGAGTTTTACAACGTCCTCCAGACTTTTCCTTTACATGGGCTGACCGAGGATCAATTGAGGATGCGGTGTTTCCCAGAGATGCTGAAGGACTGGGCCAAAGCTTGGTTCATGACCCTGGCCCTGGATTCTCTAACAACTTGGGCCGAAGTCTACTCAAAATTTGTCGGGAAGTACTATTCCTATCAGAAGA